CGGCCTCCTGTGGGGCTTGGGTGGAGGTTTAGGATCGGATGTTCCCCCTTAGTACCCCCCTAGTATAACTCTAATCCCCTTTAAAGACTGCTAGTGCAAGGGGTAACATCCCAAGGTTGCGGCTTTAGGCTTTTATTGTTTGAGGGGGGTTTAGGGTTTAGGGTTTAGGGTTTAGGGTTTAGGGTTTAGGGTTTAGGGTTTAGGGTTTAGGGTTTAGGGTTTAGGGTTTAGGGTTTAGGGTTTAGGGTTTAGGGTTTAGGGTTTAGGGTTTAGGGTCCTCTTGTCGAGTCTTTCAGGCATACCAGGGGAGTAGGCGCAATGGCATCTTCGTCCTGGAAGTCAAGACCAAGGGGACGAGAACCAGGGAGGTGGTCATGGGGTGATTAGAATGAAAACATGAAGGAGCCGGGGTCACCGAGATAGTGATGGACCCCATAGCAGCCCCGCCCCAAATAGTCGGATTCCTTATAAAAAGGAGCCAAGATAAGGTGCCCCTAATATCGTAAACCTGATGGTGGCAACCCGAAACCCTAAACCCCTATGGGTTGGGATGCTCCCCCTTATGCTAACGGTCCTTAATGGAGATTATGGTACCCCCCATTATCATCAGTATGAAGAACTGCTAGTACAAGGGGCAACATCCCAACCTGCGGGACATTTGGTAAACCCTAAACCCTAAACCCTAAACCCTAAACCCTAAACCCTAAACCCTAAACCCTAAACCCTTGGAAGCCATGGAAGTCAGAGAACAGCATCGAGCAGAAGCGGGGCGCCAGAATCATCAAAGCTCCCCTGGTTCGTCGTAGGGAATGAGGGGAATGAGGGCTCTACATATACCCTTTTAAGGGATTATAGGGTGCCTTATGTATACCCGTTAAGGGATTGTGTAGGGTACCTTGTATATACCCTTTAAGGGATGTTATAGGGTACCTCATTCCCTCATGATGGAGACCTTACATAGTTGGGGCGACGAGGATTCTGAGCTCCTATGGGGCAGAACCGGAGGCATTGAAGTAAGCCTTCAGCTTTGGGCTCCACACTTCGAAATGCACAGCCTGGCAAATCCCTAGACAGGCCCAGGTCCCCTCAAGTAAGCTCTGGCCATGCAAACAGGAGAACATATCCAATGATGGATGGATGGATGAGTTGTGGTAGTGGGGAGAATGATGGTGCTGTGGGAGGCAATGATGAGTGAACAGTAGCTGAGGATGGTGAAGACAGAGCTTGCAAGGAGTGAACGGAAGCAGGGGTGGCCTAGTCGGTGCCTTTGTTGCCACATGATTGCTCCCCTAAGCCCACCTATGAAGCCCCCGAGCCTCTGCTTGCGGAAAAGGCTCTTGCCGCCTCCGCGCCGCAGTTCCTGGCAGCAATAGGGCTGGAGCGGAATGACGAGGTCACTTGGGTTGTTCTGGGGCTTTCGTCGCCTGTAAGTTTACGGTGGGCGCTCCACTGTCACAAAAGTTTCGAGGCGTATCGTAGCATAGTAGCATTGGGTTCTTTGCCAATTAGGAGGTCTGGTAAATGGTAAGTCCACCAAGATAAAACGAAAATCCCTTTTTCCGAGACGGAAACAGCAAAGCCTCAACCCCACCCCAAAACCTGCAAGCTCGAATCCTTCAACCCCCAAAATCCACAGGTGTAGGGTTGAGTTTCTGATTTGTGGGATGAGAGTTTAGGGCTTAGGGTTGGGCCTTCGACTCTGCCTCATAGAGTCCTTAAGGGAGGAGGGTCCATGGGAGGTAGGTACCTAGGGAACCTTAGGGAAGCTGAGGGAGCCTTCGGGAGTAGTGGGGAGTATTCGTAAATTAGGGAAGCTTGGGTTACATCTTCCCCTGAACCCCTCCTAAACCCTAAACCCTAGACCCTAGACCCTAGACCCTAAACCCTAAACCCTAAACCCTAAACCTCCATAATTGTTTTTGCAGGACACCGCGGTGTTGCGCGCGCTTCAGAAGCTGCTG